GTATACTTCCACACTGTATCCCAGAAATCAACAGAACAAGTAGGCAGAAAAATCAATAGGGATGTGGAATGCTGAGCACTACCAACCATTTCCAGCTAATCAATATTTATAGAACATTCTGTCAAGCCAAAGCAGAGCACATGGGATACCCATCAAGAGAAAGCATGTTCTAGGCCATAAAAATAAATTGTAATACATTTAAAAGAATTGAAAGCACACATAGTATGGAGTTCAAATACAGTTGATTACAAAAACATGCCTGTAAAGCCTACAGGAAACTAGAAATTGAATAACCCATCCCTAAGGTATTGAAGACATTGTAAACTGAAATCTAGGAAATACAATGAACTGTCATTTCCGAGATGGCTCAGTGGATAAGTGCTTGCCATACAGATTTTGGACCTGAGTTCAAATCCGCAGTGCCCTTGTATAAAACGATGAATGTGTCTATGAGGGCAGAGACTGGGAGCAGTGTTGATGGAGATTTCTGAATGTCAGCCTCGCTACAGGTTCATTCAGAGATCCTGTCTCAAGGGATGAAGGTGGAACATGGGGATAAGACACATGAAATCCTCCTGTAGCCTGTGAGCATGTCTGATCCTGGATGGACACACACACACACACACACACACACACACACACACACACACTGAGAGAGAGAGAGAGAGAGAGAGAGAGTATAGTAAACTTAATGAGAATAAAAGTATAACAAATTCATGCAATTCCTTAATGTTAAAGAAGTGAATTTGTTATTCTAATATTTATGTTGAAAATCAAGAGTTCTAAAATCAGTGGACCAATAAATAAGTTAGTGATATAACCTTGTATTTATACAATGAAATATTATACAGCAACAAGAACAAAGTATTGGGTCTCATGGCAAGTAATAGTTAAATATATTTAAATTATGCTGTTCAAAAAAAACCAACCCAGATGCACGTCCTACAATCCCATTTATGTGAAAGTTCTGTAAGGCAAACATATTCTAGGGATGAAAAGCTGGGCCATGACTAGCTGACTACAGAACTTATTCAGGAGCAAAGCACAGAGACTGTTTTAGGATGATCAAAGTTTTCTTGTGAAACAAGTATAAGAAGCCTATGTGGTTGCTGAAGCTCAGAAATTTCGTGAAAACAATCCTTTGTTCTACAGAACTTGCATTTCAGTGAAGTTTCTTTTACTCACATATATGCATGTTCGGTCTTTATGGTTTTCCAAGAGCTCTGGGAAACAGTATAAAGAGATGTTCATTTGTATATTTGTATACACATATGGTATAATAAAAACATAAGAGTAGGAGAGTAATCAATAGCCAAGTTTTATATTGATGAGCTAAGTGAGGAAAAAAATACCATTTTATAAATAATTAAGTTTTACACAACTGTTCATATATGGAGGGGAATTTGACTTAAAATTTCTAGAATACAAAGGAAAGTCTAGATACAATCCACTAAAATATTCAGATTTCCTACTAGTTTTCTTACAGTAACTTCCTCAAATTACAGGCATTTTGGAAATCAAGTTATTGTTTCATAAAACATGCAATAAATCAAACTAAATATGAGCTCACAATCTAGACAGTTTGATTAAAGTCTATTCTTTTGTTAGGTGATATCCTCAAGTAACACTGTAGAGAAACTTCATCAAACAGTGTTAACTTTTCTTGAATATGAGGTTCATCTGTCCAGCTAAGAACAGCACACAGAACAAGGAAGGAAAGCTGTGTGTGTGTGTGTGTGTGTGTGTGTGTGTGTGTGGTGTTGGTTCGTTCCAATTTTGTGTTTAAATATGAGGTACAAATTTCTCCATAAGCATGACAAGGTAATGTAAAAGTATGTAAGGTACAAAAATATGAAAATCACTAGCTTGTTCCCAGCTCAGATAACACACACAGTGTCTTTTTCGGTTCTGAACAAATACGATGACATATCTGTTTTACTCCAGGGTTTGCAATGAAACCCTAGGGTGCAGAGAAGAAACATCAAATTTCTTCCTGTGTTGTTGAAGTGACTCACTCTCAAATTCTACTGACTTTGTAGCCTAACTCCAGAAAACTAGGCTTCCCAGCTCAGAATCTTGGTGCAGTGTCTGTGGTGATTTGAAAGAAAATGTCCCCAAAGGGAGTGGCACTATTAGGATATGTGTCTTTGTTGGAATTGGGTGTGGCCTTGTTGGAGGAAGTACGTCACTGTGGGGATGGATTTTGAGATCTCATATATGCATAAGCCACACCCAGTATCTCAGTACAGGTCTTGTTGTCTGCAAGATGTAGAACACTCAGCTACCTCTCCAGTACTATCTCTGCCTGCAGGTCACCATGTCCTACCAAGATGATAATGGACTGAACTTCTGACACTGTAAGCCACCACCACAATTCAAGGTTTTCCTTCATAAGAGCTGACATGGTCATGGTATCTCTTCACGGCAATAGAAACCCTAAGATAGTATCTGAATCCTAATTTGATAAATCATATATTAGTTCTCATTTCTAGAGCTCAGAAAATTTCTCCAGAAGTATCTCTCTCTCTCTCTCTCTCTCTCTCTCTCTCTCTCTCTCTCTCTCTCTCTCTCTTTCTCTCTCTCTCTCTCTCTCCATTGTTTTCTAAGCTAGTCACATTTCTAAATCTTGCCAAGTTACCTATGGCAATTTGATGCCACTTCCCATGGCCTCCAGAAAGCTAAAATGAGAAGAGCGGCTAGCATAAATAATGAACTATTAGTGCATTTGTAATGACTAATGAAGAACAACGTACACCCTAGAAAAGCTCCCTCCTAGACGTGGAGACAACTCTTATGAATGCTCCTGTGGTTTTGATAGCACACAGCCATTCATGTCCTACGGGGGGAGTTTTGGTCATATGAATGGAAACTGTCTTGTGGCAGCTAGGAAAGGAAAAACCAAATACCATGAGTAACTCATCTAACTGAGAATACGGTGTGCCAAAAGAAATGCTTGCTATTTTCTCAAGCTCAAAAGGGAAGTCTAAGGCAAGGTCCGAAGACAAATGAGCAGGTTCCAGCTAGGGACATTCTTAGGAGATACCTATGAATTTTGACGCTGGTTTTTCTTGTGACAAGAGTGGCACCTGATTGGGAAGCCCTACCTAAATGACAAAGGGCCAGAAATACAAGCAAAACATGGGCTTGAGATGTGTGTGTGTCCGTTTAGTTCTATCATCTATGCACTGTCCTTATTTTGACTCAGCTATTATTTCAAAAGAGACACCATCAATTCTCTCTAGTTAGAAGAACTTCAAAAATGTAAAGACCAAAGCTGTCTAGAAATTAATATACTATTGTTAAGGTAACTTAATGCAAATTAAAGATTTGCTAACATGTTGCTTTATTTTTGTGTTATTTGTTGCAAATTTTAAAAACTCTATTATATATTAGCCCAGTGTCCAACTTACCTAACTGCTCCTAAGTCTGTTTCTCCCGGTAACTGTGAGCTACTTGAAGGTGAAATGTGATGTTTACTTGCTGAGTCATTGAGCACGTAGTAAGAACTAGACAGTTGTCTGTTGGGAGGAAAGACAAAACAAAACGAGGTGCAGAGCATTTATTCAGAATAGTGATTTTAATACATAATTTCTAAATTTTGAAAGGTGAAAATAATCTAACTATTTAAAATCACGCTTGAGTTGGTCCTGTTCAGGTCTACACACACACACACACACACACACACACACACACACACACACACACACACGACACACACACACACACACACACACACACACACACACACACACACACACACACACACACACACACCTGAAGCCTGAATGTGGCTTCTGGGATGCTACTTTGTAACAAAGGGTGATTGGGAAAAAGAAAACGGATACTAAGGGCTTCCTCCATGAGTAGCTGTCATTCCCTAGGTCCTTAGCTTTGTCTCAATCGTATTGTTACTGTCTTTGGGCACAGTTTTGAAGTCCCGGTGATCCTGTCCACTTAAAAGAGACTCCCTGAGATTCTGATCTTCTAAAATAGAGACTTGGTGCCCCATGCTGGGAGTCCAGCCAATGGCTTTTTTTCATGGCAGGCAACTGTCAGCTAAAAGCACACATTATCACTGCATTCAGTTGGTGTCCAGAGAAGAGCCATGCTATAGACTGGCCACAGGTGTCTTTAGAGAGCGGAAATGACCCTGGGCTAGAATTACACTAGATAATTCTCGTGCTTAGGAACATATTTAGCTAAAGCTTTCATGGGTAGTTCCTGTGATTGGCATTTCAGGCAACAACGTAAGAGGCAAAGGTACGTGAAGTAAACCCCTGAGTCCTACATGTTTCCACAGGTGGCTTTAGGTTGACATATTGTTTGTTGATTTTATTTGTTTGTTGTTATTCATGAAACAAGGTCTTGGTATATAGCCCAAATTGGCTTCAAACTAACAGTGCTCCTGACTCCCAAACTCTGAGTGTACACCACTACTCCCAGTCTTTGAGTCCCTCATTGGTTAATTCTCTTATGTGAGCCTCAGAAGCTCACAAGTTAACATGTTTTAAAATCGATTTTAAGTTAGTTTTCCTTCATAAAACGTGAAAGGAGGGAGCCAGTTTTACTGGTTTACTGAAGAAACAGTCCAAGGTTTCCATAGCAGAGAGAGAAGTTGATCTTATTGTAGACTTATTACAGGCTTCAAGAGCTCTTTTCCAGAAGCTTTTCCTACCTCCTAAAATCCTGTCAAGCAAGAAGTGAAAAAGCTATTGCAGAGCAGCTCAGGCACGGGAGTTTCTGCAGAACTTGGAGCATCTTTACCTACAAGGCTGCCTGCTTCTCGATTGTTTACACTTGATCAGCCGTCTACACTGAGCGCTTAAAACATCAGCCAGATGTTTAAAAGTAAATTCTTCATCAGTCAGGACTGACGGGCACTTGGGAGTGTGTGTGTGTGTGTGTGTGTGTGTGTGAGAGAGAGAGAGAGAGAGAGAGAGAGAGAGAGAGAGAGAGAGAGAGAGAGAGAGAGAGCGCTCTCATTAAGGGACGATCTATGATTTGACAGTCTGCTCCTGCTGCTGCTCCTGCGGCTGTAGGGTCTGTCATGACTTGAAAAGGGATGTGAGGGCTGAGAGGAACTGTCGCTCTGAAGTCTCAGCCTCTGCTAAGTGATCTCCCTGCCAGGCAGACTAGACACGATTTTCTGCAGGGCTGCAAACTTGGACCTATCACCCCCTCCATCTAGCCTGAGACACAAGGCAACATTGTGGCAGAGCAAAAAGGTAAGAGAATAAAATATCTTCTACTGAGGCTGGGGGCTGGGGAAATGGGGAACTTAGGTGAAAAGGCTTGCATTTTTCCCCCAATGCTGCTTCAGTCCTGAGAGGCAGAGGCAGTAGCTAAGATCCTACCGGGTTGAGCATTGAGCCCTTTGGCTTCTGCGCTGGTACTGTTTTTTCTTCATTGTTTGTACTTCTCCCAAGCATCTGACAGGTTCCTTTGTATTTTACTATGCAGTCAGCACATGAATTTTTTCTGTAAGTTTGAAATAGCTTGTTTGTGCTTGCTGTTTTCTTTTCCCCCAACTGGACCCAGTTTCAAAACTGGGGCATTTTCTGCTTCTTTTTCCTTAAGCATTTGTTTTCCCTGTGAAGAGAGAGTTAGTTAGCCGGTCCCTCTCCCCTCTCATGAGGATGTGCTCCAGATACAATTACTTCGCTCTGCCTAGAACTGCAACATAGGGAGTTTTCTCAAGTACATAGGAACCCTGTTACTGTAGAAACTCCGGGGTGTAAAAAGATGAAACGGGTTGCCTCTGAGTGTGCCTGCTGTCGCAGACTGTGACATTGTGACTGAACGCATGCGTGGCTTTTCACAGGGGCAAAAACTACTCCATCAAAGGCGAAGGCTGGGGAAATGTTTTAAAGAGTCCGTCTGTGGGTCAGAGAAACCTGAGGCCACTGAAGATGGAGAATGAGACAGTCAGTGAACTGAACCAAACCGAGCTCCAGCCCCAAGCAACTGTGGCGTTCGAGTACCAAGTGGTCACTATCGTCCTTGTCTTCCTTATCTGCGGACTGGGCATCGTGGGCAACATCATGGTAGTCCTGGTGGTCACGAGAACCAAGCACATGCGAACCCCTACAAACTGCTACCTGGTGAGTCTGGCCATGGCAGATCTCATGGTCCTGGTGGCTGCAGGCCTCCCCAACATAACCGACAGCATCTACGGTTCCTGGGTCTATGGCTATGCCGGTTGCCTCTGCATTACTTATCTCCAGTACTTAGGAATTAACGCGTCCTCGTGTTCAATAACAGCCTTTACCGTGGAGAGGTACATAGCCATCTGTCACCCCATCAAAGCCCAGTTCCTCTGCACATTTTCCAGAGCCAAAAAGATCATTATCTTTGTCTGGGCCTTCACATCCATTTACTGTATGCTCTGGTTCTTTCTGCTGGATCTCAATATTAGCACCTACAAAGATGCTATTGTGATATCCTGTGGCTACAAGATCTCCAGGAATTACTACTCACCTATTTACCTAATGGACTTTGGTGTCTTTTATGTGGTACCAATGATCCTGGCCACTGTGCTCTATGGATTTATAGCTCGGATCCTCTTCTTAAACCCCATCCCCTCAGACCCTAAAGAGAACTCTAAGATGGGGAAGAGTGACTCAACCCATCAGAACAAGAATTCGACTTTAAATGCCACTAACAGATGTTTCAACAGCACTGTATCTTCCAGGAAGCAGGTAAGCAAAACTGCCCTGCCAAGGCAAGACAGGAAGTATGGAAGAGAGTTTTTGTTAAGACAGGATCAACTTTGCCCTACTTAGCCGATGGCAGAACCAAAATACAATCATGAAAATGTATCCCAGTGTAAGCTTCTGCTTTGCATATTAAACTTACCTCCAGGATCAACTGAAGATCTAAAAATAAATGGAGGGATTTGATAGCACCTGAGCAGGAGGCGGTTCCCTATGAAGATATAGAGGCCATAGACAGAACCCCAGACATCTTGGTTTAAAACACTTGTGCCCCTCTGAAAATGTTAACTGAATGTTTAGAAAACTGACCTCTGTAGGGAAAACATACTGTTGCATGACAAAGAATTACCTTTCAGGAATTTTGCTACACAATTAGCAAGGGAATCTGAGAATAAATCAGTGAGTCTACATAATGGAACTTTTCTTGCAATGCATAGATATTCATAACTGATCCCACAAAAGAAAGGGAACCAGCCTTATTTGGTTGGTCTTGATGAAAGACAATTCTCAAGCCCTTTCTCCGACTCTCTCCAAGTTATCCTAGCATGCAGAAACTGGAAATACATTTTCCTCTGGAAGAAATTATTGCAGAATAATGGCCAACATCAGGCTGAATCAGTTAAAAGCAATTTGTTAATGTAGGTTTTCTAGCTTATCATAACTGGAACTCTCTCATGCTTCCAGATAACCTCAATACACAGGGCCTGCATTGGAATGATGGTTTTACTAGCGAGCAAAGCATCTCGCTTATGAGATAATGCAAAAATAAGAGGCTCTGTGACAGATACTCATCTGTTTGTGTCTGCACAACTGTCCCGGGATACTTATGAGCCTAGCTCTCAGGTCTTTGTCCTTCTCTCTCGAATGCAATAAATATGTAGTAAATATTTATTCTCATAGTGAAAAGAGAAAACATGAAATTAGCAATATGGTTTCTTTCAAATACCTGAATTTTTCTTTTATTTTCTGCAAGGAAAATAGTTCATTGTATCTATATAGGGAGAAAACTGAATGTGCTTTAGGGAGTATGTATGTGGATCACACATACATACATACATACTATTATTTCTTAAACTTTAAGTTACCTAGTGCATTATGAATTGTGACTAGATAAGATACACACACACACACACACACACACACACACAACAGGGAAAACTCATGAAAGTGAAATGTCTGCACTAAGGGGGGGACTGCAGCTGAAGAGAATGCTTGCAGCGTTTTAAATGACAGGTGACACTTGATCCATGTGACATTTGTTATGAAGAGAGAGGGAGCACATGAGTAGCTACTACCAAGTCTTTGCTTCCGTAGCTACAGAGTGGTGTTACCTAATACAAGGTGTAGCTGGACATTACCCAAAGCTTGCTTCATGGGGATGGAGAGAGATACATTGGCCCCCTGTCAAGACAAATATTAACAACTACAATAAGACAATAATGGATATGCACATCTTAACTGCTGACCAAATATGAGTTAATATATTTGTTAGAAAATTGGTTCCTTATACTCACATTCACATGTTTATTATATGTATATTTTGAAGCTTGTTTGTCTGGCCTAAAGTCCTTTTTTTTTTCAATTATAGTCATTAGCACCCATCAGCACTAATAATGCACTTTGGATTGCTAATTATGTTATGTGTTCACAATCTTTTCAAAGGTGTTAATGGTGAGCATGTGAGAGCAATGTAGTGTTTAGGGACCAGACGCCAACGGCCCTGGATAAGGAAGATTTGAAGAGATGGGTGGCAGAAACTCACCCATGAGAACAGTTGGTGGTAATAGGCTGGCGTAAGTAAGAGACTCTACAACAGTGGTTTCCAGCCTTCCTGATGCTGTGACCCTTTTCATGTTCTGGTGACCCCTCAACCATAAAATTATATTCACTACTACTTCATAACTGTAATTTTGCTACTGTTAGGAATCATAATGTAAATACCTGTGTTTCCCGATGGTCTTAGGCAATCTCCATAAAGGGGTCATTTGACCCCGATGGGGTCTTAACCCATAAGTTGAGAACCACTACTAAATAGGGCGAATTCAAATCAATGTGAACATATGATACATAAGGGATGATGAAAGAGTCATTCAATATGGTAGCGGGCTCATGTTTATTCCCAAATATTGAAATTATTCTCAAAGAGAACACAAAAAGTAGAGGTAATCATGACTTAATCAGTCTTTCTAAGCCCAGGTTTTCCCATCAATCAAATGGGTACATCAATGTCAGTTGTTGCTGAAACCAAATGTGATGCATTCCCCATCCTGGGAATTGGGATCCCAGCTTCGAGTGTAAGGCCAATGTGTTACAAACTTAGCGACCTATGTTCTGTATTCTCCCTTTTCTAAGAAAGACTTAATTCTTCATAAGGCTCAAATCTCCATGTCCTATAACCTAAGGACATTCATTTTAATATTTCTCTCTAATTTTTCTCTTTTAGGCAAGTGTAATTTGCATTTTAATAAATACTTATCTGGGCCAGGACCTTCAAGCCAAGTTACTAAAATCAAATGTACACAGCTTAGGGGGTTACATTTTGAAGAAAATAAAAGAGAGATTATTTTTCTGTGGAAGACAAAGGTAACACTTCCTTTCCTTGTTCATTTTTCACTTGTACCTCCAATGTAAAAAATCTAGATCAAAAACTTTTTCCTATTACTCAAAGACTTGATTAGATTTTAGGCAACTACCTGCATTGAAACAAATTAAATTCAACTCCACTCTGTGACTAGAAGCTATGCAAAGGGATTGCCTGATTGAATTAGTCTTTTGTTTCACAGTAGGGTGGTTTGACTCTCAGGAGACAGGCTTGAAATGGTGACATTTGTTACATCTTAGCTCTACCTACACAAAGCCACAAGACCCCTCAATGTGTTCAGTTCCTATGTTCGGGATCATGAGGAGAAGCCACCTCTATCATTGGTTGTGTATTTCTGCATAACTTATTGAATTTTAAATTTGGAAATGCAGAAGCCCTTTTTCGTAAAACTCTAACCCTTTTGGTAAAAGTCAGTGCTATCAATAAACAAATTCATTTCAAACATTTGCTTTCTGTGGGCTACAGGGATACACAAGACATTTATAAGCCAGGCTTCTGATTTTGTTTTTAGTGGTACCACTTAGCAATTGCTCTTATGTTACAGGACGAGGAGTAGGAAAATAGTGTGACCTAATTAATCCCAATAGAATCTTCCAGAGATTCTGTTAATTTTTTGTAGGCACCTTTGATTTATCCAGTCTTAAAAATACTAAGTGTTCCTTCTATAAAGTGTTTACTAGGGGGAAAAATGTTGAAAGTCCAAGAAACAGAACAAAAACAGCTTCCCTTTCTAAAGTGACACATGCCCTTTGGGGAAGACAGTTTATGATGTTATAAATGGTGTTATATGGAACATGTAAAGGGTTAAAAATAAGGAAAAAGGGGACTCTCCATCAAAGGCCATTAGTCATTTTCTTATGTTTCTTTTCTTCCTTTTAAAGGATCAGTTTAAATTAATGTAGCCACAGTAATATTTATTCCACTTTCTCACTCTTACTCCCAAAGTATTGAAATTATTCTCAAAGAGGACACAAAAGGTAAAAGTAATCGAACTTAATCAGTCTCTCTAATCCAGTCTTCTATCAGTCAAATGAGTACATCAACTGACTTGTATAGTTGTCCCTGAAGTTAAATGAGATGCACTAGACAAGATGCTTATTTTTTCTCCTGCATCTCTTGTGATGCAGCCCTAGCCATTCTGTGTGCTCGTGGAAATAAAGACTGTAATGTACCTGCTCTCTTCTCCTCCTACCTTCCTCCAGTCTTTCTCGTGTGTGTGTGTGTGTGTGTGTGTGTGTGTGTGTGTGTGCGCGCGCGCCCGCGCGCTCACGAGAGCCTGTGCAGTGGTATACAATATGTGTATGTGGAGGCCAAAGATAGACAAAGGGTATCTCCTGTAGTTGTTCTTTGCCTCATTCTTTAGACAAGTTCTCCCACCAGGAGAGCTCACCGATTTGTCTAGATCTGGCCGGTAAGCTCCTAAGGATCCCCCTGTCTTTGCAATTGCAGTTTTGGGGTTACTCACACATGAAACGCCACACGTGGGTGCTGCAGATGTGGACTGCGGTCCTCACATTTGCGCAGTCAACTCTTTACCGACTGAGCCATCTTCCTTGCCCCCTGTGTGCTGCTCCTCAAAGAGACCAGGAAGACGTCCATGGTCATAGCCATGCTAACACGGAAGGAAGGCTCACATGGCCTCAACGCTAGACAAAGAGCTGCAGGCCAGTAAGGAAGGCTGAAAGCAGGAGAAATAGTCTCCCCCAGGGAAAAGCACACTAGTTGATTCTCTAATAACAAATAGACGGGTCTGAAAACATATAAGTAGCATCATACGGGATGAGGCAGGCTGCACTTATACATTTAGGAATATATGCAAATGCATATGCACACACACACACAACAGTTAAAGAAAAGGAGGACCATGAGTTTGAAAGAGAGCAAGGTGAAGAAGATGCATGGGAGGAGTAGGAGGGAGAAGAGGGAACCTATGTAATCACGATCTCAAAAAATTAAAAATATGTATTTCAAAAGGGAAGGATCTCGAACAAAGCACAAAGGAAGTCTGGCATGGTGGTGGTTCAGCCCCGTAATACACTGTACTTGAAAGATGGCTCATGAAGACAAGTTCGAGGCCAGCTAGTGGAGTAGCTCAGTAGTTTAATGAACATATCAAGACTCTAAACAAACAAACCCAAGGGAAAGAGACAGAGACATAATAGATGAATTTCCTGGCTGTAGGGTTTGGGAGCACAAAGTCTTTTAAGTTGCATGACTCATGCAGCTGGCAACTTGTGGGCACATCTTCTAGAACAATGCCTGTCACCTGCTTCAATATATAATAATAATAATCATCATCATCATCATCATCATCATCTCTGGTCTCACCCTGGAATTTAGACAATGGTTATTCAGATTTTTGGCACTGGCCTTCATTATAGTT